TAATAATAATAATAATGTTAAAAATTGGTTTGCCAAACTAGACTCCACTACAGGACCACATGCAGTCTCTTGTTATTGTATCCCTTCAGTTCTAATGCACTCAGAAGGCTGGACCACCTGATCAATAAAATACCCTGCTTTTCCATTGTCTAATTTGTTCTGCATGGATTTATTTAGCTAATTTTTCTTCCTCTATACTTCCTGTAATCAGACATTAGATCTGAAGATCTGATTAGATTCTGATCAAGCAATTTTGGGCCCACACACTACATAATACATCATTTCAGGAGATACAGTGATCTGGTTAAACCATAAATAATGATAAATTAATCCTTGGGTTGGGGAGATGACAATCTGATCCCTAAGTTTTAAAATTGGTTTAATTTATGCACAATTATTTCAACATATGTGAAGATCCAATTATCTTCTATCTCGTGGATTTAAAACCAGTTAATAATCTTTAATAGGTTACTTCCTTGGAACTTAGAAGATTTTCTTCAGTTTTATTATCTCTTTTATATTTATGATATTAATTTACTTCCCTTATAAGATTACCTTATCTCTCATGAAACAGAATTGGGGGTATCTTTTTGTCTTTTTGAAATATAGTCCCAGATGGAAGAATAGAAAACTGGTTGAATTCTTTTGTGAGAAATTTTAAAACAAGAAAGAGATAGAACTAAAAGGGTAGAAGGGAATAATGACAGCGTGGTGGCCTCTACATATGGTCATCCACCCGAATGCCTCCTACAAGTTGTTATTTAGGGGAAAAAGTTCCCTCCTTCATCACAAAACTCAGAGGTGACTTTCTTTTTCCTTGTTCCTCCTTAGACACATTATGCAGGGCATCAGACAAATTTCAAGATTCTCAACTTATCCCCAGGACAAAAGTACTTTGTCCAGGTTCGCTGCAAGCCAGATCATGGATTCTGGAGTCAGTGGAGCCAAGAGAAATCCATTAAAATTCCTGGTGGTAAGTAAGTGTCTGCTTAGCTTTGGCTTATACTCTTGGATATTTTCAAGTGGTAAATGTGCATATAATTACTGCTAATAAAGAAGATATTTGGACCTCAGCCTGAAGAATAAACTGAGATAATTTTATAAGCTCGTTACCAAATGTACAGACATTTGGAAGTTTGTGGCACTCCCTGGCTTCTTGGGTCACTGTCACTGATGCTCCGTGTCTTTAATAGTCTGAAGCGTGGCTCAGGGGATTTAAGGATTAGTCATTCTGTCCTTCCCTCTAGCTCATCTCTGTCATTTAGAGGATCCAGCCAAGTCCATCATCTAATTGTCCCAGAACTTGTAAGGTATCAACTCAAATATATGAACTATTTAGTCACTGGCAAGAATTTCACATTTGTCTTTTAACCAAAGCATAGTATATAAGAGAACTTCAGTGCTAAGAAAGTGCCGTTGAATGTGGTGGCTTTTATTCTATAAGGGAGTGAGTCCTCCATTATTTCTAATGTACCTCACAGTTTGCACTGTCTTTGCTTCATTTAGTACCTCCAAGTCTCTTTGGTATTAAAGAAAATGCAATTACATTAGATTTAGGAATTAAAAGTAAGGAAACTAAAACTCCGTGACGTTAGGCGTCTTACCAGATCAACACTACAAAGTCTAACTCTTTTGGCAACTTGTCTAGCTGAAGCTTCAGAGGTTCATTTGTTTGGCCTACTAGAAAGAGCAGGGCCAGAGAGACAGCTCAGTGGCTTAGGTGCCTGCCTTGCAAGTACTAGATCCTAAGTTTGATCCCTGGTACTGTAAAAAAAAAAATTCCTCTGCGTACTGGAAAGAGCACTGAACAGTGGGTCAGGACACGCATTTCGTTCAGCCCCAGTTTATGCTAAATAGAAGCAGTGGGTTTAGAAGAAGAAGGTCTGTGTTCTAGTCCCAGACCAACTCTCAACAGCGGTGTGACCACTCATACATTTCACCTATAAATCAAAGCAATATATTTTTAAAACAATATGACTATTGGCATTTACTACCAACTTAATAACTGTTGGCTTTTATTGTTATTACTGCAACTGACCATGGATTCCTTCCTTAAAGATCAAATAAAAGAACACATGAAAGGATTTTAAAGGTATAGAATACTGTAAAATATGGACAACATATTAAAATATTAATATAGGAAAAATCATACCTATTATTAATGCTGCGCTGAATTGCTATTAGTGAAAAGACATAGTTTTTTTCCAATGAAAAAAAAAAATCTTGTGTTCATAAGTGTCATGCATAGATGTGTTGATTGTTTCAAATAATGCTATCTGTGATCAAAGCTTTCTGGCTGCTTGTGTTTTAGATGCCAACATGAACGTGACTGTATGGATCTTTGTAGCTGTTCTTTCTGTCGTCATCTGTTTGGTTATATTCTGGAGAGTGGCTTTAAACGGGTACAGGTACCTCTCGATCTCTCAGGCCCTCTGTCAACCGCAGCTGTGAGGAATAAATCAAAAGCAACAATACAGATTGTCTTTTCTTTGGAGCTATTTCTTCCCATTTCACAGTATCTATTGCTCATTCTGGGTCCTATTTACTCCAGCTCAAAAGAAAAGTGAAACTATGATGGGAGAAAAGGGACAGGAGGAAAGGATAGATAGATAGATAGATAGATAGATAGATAGATAGATAGATAGATAGATATAGATATATAGATAGATATAGATATAGATATATGCTAAGATAGTTATACTGCTAGTTTCTCTTACTTTATTGAAAAGAATGGTTTGTACTACCATTGGATTTTGTTTGTTTGTTTGTTTTTAATATATTTGGTATAGGATTTCACTGTGCAGCTTTGACCTATAGTGATCCTCCTATTTTCAGCCTCCCCTGCACTGGGATTGCAGGCATGCACCACCACGCCCCATCTCAGTGGCCAGCTCAGTGTTCCCAGGGGCGGGGCCTGTGCTGAATGTGGTGCCAGGGATCGAACCCTGGTCCCTGAGCTTGTCTAAGCAGGCACATAGTCCACTGAGCTATCTCACCAACCCTTGTACTATCATTGTTTATACAATATCTACTGCCTATATCTTGTACTCTGAGTAACTCTCTGAAAATAACAATATACAATGTATTAATGATTGTTACTCTATTATTTTGTTTTGAAATTTTGGGTTTTTTTCCTTATAACAATAAAACAGCAATACAGAGATGACAGAAACATTCAGCTAAAACTTTATTTTATTCATTAACTTGAGTGGGTTTGCCCATAAAAATCTTTTATGAGTATAAAAATGTTAAACAACATTGACTCATTTGAAGCAGGGGCTCTTTCCCTCAAGTGAAGACTCACAATTGTGAAATAGTAAAAATCTGGTAAGAGCAGCTAAGATTAAGAAAAGTAAATAATCCACATAATCCACTAACTTCCAAATCTTCCTGAATTAGCCAGAGCAAATTTTAATGTAGGTTTCTATAATTATTATCATTATTATTTATTGCCAGTTTCACACAGCCCCACAACTCTTCGGGTAGTAATTATTTAAAAACTGCTTTTTTTTTAAGATTGCAACGTAAGAAGACCAGTCATTTATCTAATCTCTCCAATTATTTTGCAGAGTGATGACCTGCATCTTTCCACCAATTCCTGGGCCAAAAATAAAGGGATTGGATACCCGTCTGCTAGAGGTAAGCGCCACTGGCAGAGACAGTGTGTGACTCACTTCTTCAAGACAATGAACTCTAGGCATGCGCACACCACCCATCCGCATGAATCCAGTTTAGCCTCTGTGGTCATTCTTCTTTAGCTGCTGCTCCTCATCAGGGTGTGTGTTAACAGAGGTGTTAACTGTCAAATACTAACCACCAGAGGGCCTGGGGAGAAAGCCAAACCAATACATAGACACATGGGAATGCTTGCTAGATGAACCAGGCCTGTTCGTTAGCACAAAGAGCCATTTGGAGCAAGTAATCAACTTAGTAATTGTCTCAGTTACTCTTCTCTCATTGCTGGGACAAAATACCTGACTCCCAAAATTAAGGAAGGGGACCGGCAAGATAGTTCAGTGGCGAGATAGCTCAGCGGACTAAGTGC